AATTCCTGAATATTTTTGTTTTCTTTTTTCTTTTTATGTGATGAGAAAGAAATTATTTTACCTCTCATCACAGCTTTCCCTGCTTCCCATAGAACAGAACCTGATGTTTCGGGAGTGTCATTATAGTCTAAATATGAAGTCCACTCTTTTTTAAAATATTTAATAAAGTCTTCATCTTTAAGCAGTGATGTATTAAATCTCCAGTTTTTACTTGGCGTAGTATTATTCTTGTGCATTAGTGTTAAAGATACAGGACCATGATCGCTGACAGCTATAGGGTGAATCTCAGTGTCTGAAATGTCGCAGTGAGCTGCTGACCAAAAAATAATCCAGACGAGAGTAGGAGTGATGGACATGTGAGAAAAAAGTATATTCCTTACTGGTGTGGTGAAGGGAGCGCCATACATCGCAAAGACCAAAGTCGCTCATATACTGTTTGATTATATTTGTGGATTGCCAATTACGCTGAGTTCCTGCTGTATTGAGCCTATCCATTTCTTCATTTAGTCCAAGGTTGAGGTCGCCTCCAAGAACAAGTGTGCCACCTAAGTGTTCAGAGAGTGCACTGAAAAAACCGTGAAAGAATGAGAGATCATCAACATTTGGACCATATAAACTTGCAATACATAGCTTTTTTTTTTTTTTTTTATCAAGTATAGATAGTTTAATGATTAAGAATCTGCCCTCTGGATCTATAACTGTATCGAGTACTCTGAAATTAATATTTTTATGTATTAAAATTGCTACTCCCCTTTGTCTAGAATTATAACAAGCTGAGAACACATTAGGAAACTCAGGTGTTTTAAGTTCATTCGAACCTCTAAGAGGTCTGTGGGTCTCTTGTAAAAGGACAACATCTGCCTGTAGTTTTTTGAGTTGGTTAAATATTTTTAACCTCTTTTCTCTGGAGCCAGCTCCATTTACATTCCATTTAACGAACCTTAGTGCACCCATAGATGTCTGTGTATAACTAGGGATGTATGCTGTGTGCGTCGCTTAGACAGGTGGAGAGAATACATCACTTGTTCATAAATAAAGAGAAGGAGAGAGAGAAAAAATGTGTGGCAAGATGCTCCCTGAGTCTGACTATGTGTGTGCATATTTACTAATATGAGTAGGCTTGGCTTAAGTGTGTGTATCCTATACGACTGTGTGCACTGTCTGACTGATGTAAATGTGCTGCCATTGAGCGCATGACTGTGCGTGATCGTGCGGTGCGTATGTGTCGAAATAAAAGATGTTGTTTGTGGATGAGTGTGGAAGCAGGTGATCGAAGCAGTGAAAGAAAATAGGAAAGAAACCAAGGACAAGGGTGAGCAGCATAAAAACTAGACGGGGGAAAAGAGAAAGAAAAAATGAGAAGAAAACAAAAAACGAAAACATTCCAATTAAATCACTGACGGAGAGTGACGGTGTTAATTCTGCTATGAAATCACACTTAAGATGCGATTTGATACCGGTAAGTTAAACAGATGTTAATGCAAGTTAGTGTGAGTGGATAGGGAAAGGGTGTAGCGGATTCTTATCTGGTGTGAAGTTAATACAGCCACGGAGTGATGTCGGGGTCGCGGTGGAGCTGTCCGTCCACGTACAGCTGGTCCACAGCGATGACAGCGCGGGAGCCCTTCTGGATGAAGTCGCGTTGGATTGGGAAGAGGACCCTGCGTCGTTCCAAGATCTCTTTGGGGAACTGGTCGTTCACGCTGAAGTCCGTTCCTTTTAATTCCCTGCCGCGGCTTTTCACATGTTCCTTTTGTTTGAAGTGGCCGAATTTGGCCACAATAGGACGTGGTCTCCCGGTCGCAGCCCGCATGGGGCCGAGGCGATGTACCCTATCGAAGATGATGTTCTTCACCGTGTCCTCCGGCAGCTTCAGGTGGGTTTTGATGAAGCTTTTTACCGTGGTCTCCGCGTCCTCTCCAGCGGCTTCTGGAATACCAGAAAATACCAGATTATCACACATGCTACGAGCTTGTAGATCAATAACTGTTTCTTTTATTTTTTTTATTTTCTCTATTTAGCTGAGTAACATTGTCTGTGAGAGATTTCACCGACTCCCTTAGCGTGGCATTTTCAGCAGCGAGCGTTTCCACCTGCTGCTGGCTGAACTCCAGGGATTCTCGCAAGCATTTAAATTCCCGGTGAAGAATCTCCACCAAGGACAGCCTTGCATCGAAACTGGACAATCGTTTGTCGATTGACTCCAGTATGTCGACAATATCTTTGCCGGCTGGCGATGTTGTGCCGGGGGAATCTGCCGGGCGTTGTCTTTTCGACGACGGCGTCTCAGATTTGGCCGGGGAAGCTGCACTCTGGGCCTTCTTCATCACGAGATCCTGAAAGCACTGATCAATATAATCTTGGAGAGTCTCTAAACTCTCCCCGTTGTTCTCCAGGGTGTTGGAGATGATTAAGCAAATGTTGTTAGTTATATGACAATTGATAAGTGTATTTGGTAATACTGAAGCTTAAAGGAATTTGTTCAAATCTAAACTACCATTTGCTTTAATTTTCCGCCAAAATCTCCGGCGTCTGACGTCAGTTACAACATGAGTCGCTTACCTTGTCCGTCACTTCCGTCACTTACCTCCTCCTTACCAGGTAAGGAGGAGGTAAGCCCTTCAAAGGAAAAATGCAAATTGGTTGATGGCCATACTGAGGCAAGGACTATGAAGCTTAGACCAGCAGTCCCCAACCTTTTTTGCGCCATGGACTGGTTAATGGTCGACAATATTTTCACAGACCTGCGTTTAATGTGTCGTGGATAAATACAACAAAATAAAACCAGTACCGGTACACAAAAAAAAGGAATTATTAATAACACATGGGAAAAGACCCAGGGAAACCAAGTTAATGGTTAATAAAAATGATTTAAAATGATTAAAAATAAATAAATAATGATAAAAACCAATAAAAACCCTGAAAACCATACATTTCACACCCGAACCTCAACTCTCGCGGCCCAGTACCAAACGATTCACAGACTGGTACCGGTCCATGGCCTGAGGGTTGGGGACCGCTGGCTTAGACCAAAGTTCTATCAGTGCATAAGATTATGCAGGCAATCCTCAGGCTTTTAATACAATCAGTTTGTGAGTAGCCAGTGAAGGGTGTTTATAGACTTTGGGAGAGGCTGTATATTGCAGATCTCTTATAGTTTCTGATATGCTTTAACCCACTGTGAAACCAAAAACAAGGGATATTTAAGACTGAATTACCCTTTTTTCCACATGAAGACCTCAAAACATTTGGGTCTGGCAGGCAGTCAGACCAATTTCACAGTGATTTAAAGTATTAAAACTGCTATAAATGACATGTTACTTTCTTTTTGTAGTTAGTCTCAAGTTTAAAAAATTCTTTATAAAGACACCTGACAAGAGTGGAGCAAGAGTGCAGCACAAATTGCAACAAATATAACAGATCTTAGATATTTAAAAAGATATTTAAAATGGCCCAAGATGACTGACAGATTATAATGCAGCAAACAAAGTAATAATAAAAAAAACTATTTTATAGAGCAAAAAAGAGCAAAAACATTTCTAAAATTAAGCAATTTCCTATCAAAATTGCTTAATAAACATTTATTTTGTTTATTTTTATTTTATTAGTATTTTCCTTAAATGTGTTAAATATATATTTTCTCTCTCTAAATGTCCACTGAGTTGTGATCCAGGGGGCGGTAATACGCCTTAACATTGGTTGCCAACCAAGAAGAAGCTGTGAGCCAGGAGGGAGGGGGTGAGCGAGTCCTGAGTGATTCGCTTACGCTTCCGATTCAGCACAGGAGGGAGGGGGTTAGTGAGTGAGTGAGTGATTCGTTCGCTCTATGATTCAGCACCGGAGGGAGGGGGTGAGCGAGTCCTGAGTGATTTGCTTACGCTTACGATTCAACACAGAAAGGGAGGGGGTGAGTAGCTCAAATGTGCTGTTAGCATGTTAGCAGAGCGATGCTACTGTGAACCGAGGAGCTATTTTCTTGATCTGAGCTTCTACTCAGGGTTTTTTCTTCCAGTTCAGAGCAGAAATGCTTTTGTTAAGAAACTGGCTGGTTTTTCCCCCCCACAATTTTAATTATAAGCTAGATATATTTCTACTAAGCGAATTAGTTTGCTAACAGAAACAGGGATGAGTCAGTGAGTCAGTTGGGCTTGTGAATCATGATTCACGAGTCAGTAAAGTGATTCTCGAGTATTGAACGATTCGTTCACGAATCGAACATCACTAATAAACACACATCCCTGATATTTAATAGGGCAGGGCTGATATCTGTTCAGTGATGGCGTTTGTCTACAGCAGCAGTCAGTATTTTGAAGTCTTAACAAGCATTTCTTTTAAATATAATTTATATGATAATAATAGCTACACTCAAGAATTTGACTTGAAGTTACCAAAAAACACACGGATTAGCAAAGTGGAGGCAAACACTGCAGAGGTCTGTTGAGCAAGTTAGCTCTCAGCAGCTCTATTTTATGCAGTCGTGCATTAAAACCCATGAACTATGACTGAAATGTTTTCACATTTATCAATTAAATCATTTCATAAGATGTTTGAGCAACAAAATAGATTTTTTTCAACTTCAAGAAGTGGCTAAATTATATTTACCTAATGCTAAGAGCTAGCATAAGCTAGCTCAACTGATTTTGTTTTTATGATAATTTTTATTTGTTTTCTAGGTAAACAAGTAGTTTTATAGAAATATATTACAATATTAAGTTCATAACTTAATTTTGGCTGGCTAGTTTTGTTTTTGTTCTGTATCAAGGAATTTCTATCAAATAGAAAGTAAAATGGTGGATGTATGACATATATCAGTTTAAAAGAAATTAACAGAAATAAAATAAGAAAAATGTTGCGTGATATTTGATTAACATACACAATCTTCGTTTTTTAATGATTAGTTAGTGGAATTTACTAACTCTGGACAGTGTGAGCAGCACCCTTATGTGAGGGGACGTACAGCACGTAGGAGGCAGACTAGCTCAAATGCAAATGGATGGACTTTGGTGGGTTAAAGACTGTTCCATCTGAATGCACCTGCTCATTTGAATTTTCATACATTCATCCCTTGGGCAATGCCATTGTCGCAGTTCAAGTCCGGATGCTTGAAAATAGATAATCCAGTCTCTAAAGGTTTATTTTTTAAATTTAATTTTATTATTAAAACAACTCCCAAAATCCATCAACAACATGGAGAGAGTGGGAAATTTGGTAAATGGGCAGGTTTATTATATGGCACTCTTTTCTAAACGCCTGAATGCTTTCTGTCTAACATTCACTCTCCAATGAACAATGAATATATTTATATATGAGCCTTGTTTGGAATAAATGCTAGCTAACTAAGTGTTGCTTGTGGATTTTATCTTCAAACATTTTAAGCTGTATTCTGCTTTATATCTTTTAAAAAACA